ATTTTAGTTTAATATAGTTTGAAACCTAGTAATTTCCATCGAAGTTTACACAGGCAGTAAGTTGCACACACAGTAAAGAGTATACACCAGATAGAGCACAGCATCGTGACATAATTTAGTACCAGGAATGATGAACATGCAAGCAAGTGACATCAATGGGTACATGAGCACGAAGCAATGTCAATGTGCGTGCGTGTTCAATATGTGCGTGCGTCGACCAACCAAGTTAGACGAGACAAGTGCTTGCTTCAGTTCATAAGCTCCAGGCTAAAACGACGTATGCTATTGGTGGTCCAACTGAATAGCTAAGATAGGATAGAGGCGACAGTCCTTGGGGGGACTAGATGAGCGTTGAAGAGAGTAAAGAACATGTGCTTAGATGAGATAGAAGACGATCGTCGGGAGTAAGGAGCCACCGAGAGAGCAGTGGCATGTGGACAAGAGCAGGGGTTAGCTGGAAGCGTAAAAGAGCGGCCAGCTTGAGGCACGATTACCTATGTAGGGATAACGTCGATGTGTCAACATCACGAAATAGAGTACGACGTAGACGATGTATGTATTGTCAACGTGGCTTTAGGTCATTCAAAAGCGACGACACGACAAAGCAGTTGACTACTTAAGGCAGAAGAGAGGCAAGGATAACGTCACATCGTATATTAATCGATAGACATAACTCAGGACCACCATGACCAACATTAGACAGAGTCGACGACAACAACATCTTACGCCAGAACAACGCGAGAGAGATGACATCCATCAACGGGGTTTTAGACGTCGTAACCAGGATCGCGCAGACACTGAGGGAGACATGTCGGACGATCTGGAGGCGGAACATCGCACTAATCAAGCAATACTTCAGCGGACCCTAACAGTGTAACAGCAACGAGTTGGACGGATAACAACTCCTAGTGACGTGGATTTCACAGACAGTGACCAACGTAACCCTGAACCATTAAGAGTCGCACGTTGGACATCGCATACGGCACACCAAGTAGGTACAACTCATCGAGAGGTCTCAAGAGTTGCGGGGGTCAAGCGTCCGCGTCACCGTCGTCAAGGGGAACGACATAGTTGAGGTAGAGACAGTGATACACCAGAACAGCTGACATATCTAATTCGATAATTGCAATCAGTATTGGAGAAATACGATCGACGTTTGCAACGACTACAGCGGGCGAAATCACCGTCACCTGACAATCTACAGTTCTGCATCCGAGGGGCAGACCAGACTCGGCACGGAGTAGGGTATACGTCATCGGATCAGGAGGAAGATGGCACGTGGCAGGAACCTTTATCGTTCCAGAGTTTTGCACAAGCACAACAACGAGCTACACAGAACCCGCACGGTAGGGAAGCGCTCGAAATCCGCCGAGATAATCTGGAGACATCCCTCCAAGCGCAACGTCAGGGACAACAGTTCGTTCGGGAAACTATGGACGATAGTCTGACGACACGTCGAATGCTCGAACGTACCCCATCAAGTCAAGTAACGTCAGCAGACAAGCGCCGTCGTTTAGCTCAACAAATCACACCTCCGACCCCGGACAGTATAGCGGCTGACCGCCAGGCCTTGCATGCCAGGATGCTCAAGCTGTCAGAAGAGCTATGTAGTGCAGTAGAGAAGAATGTTTTACCACGAGCGGAGGCTCTACGGGGTGTACTTGAGACTTTGAGAGCAACACACAACTCGAGACCAGCGAACAAGCCTCAGTAACATTATGGAGCGCGACACTAAAGGGGCACCAAGGGAAGCCCTTAAGAATGCACAAAATTCAGGTCTAGACTAAGCATGGAGCCTGCGTTGGTCCCATAAGGTGCTGAGCCACTTTAAAGCCGAGCAGTGTACGCTCGACTATATAAAAGCTAATCACCAACATTTAGTTGCATGAACACCAGAACTCCAAATAACACAAATCTGTTCACACGTGACTCAGGCCACAGTGGATCCCACATTTTGCAAACGAGCGAAAAGACTCCTGAAGCTTAGTACTGTTCCAGTGATGGAACAGATGACGTACCTTATGGAGAATCATCGTCGAGCACACGAGCGTTGTCAGACCGACGCAGACTTTAAGCAAAACTTGTTTAACCATTGCATAGTTCAATTGTTGGAGGAAACGTTATGATCTCGTACATATGAGCGCAAACTACAGTTACACCCGAAGTGGTAGCTCATGGAGACCCATGAATTATTACAGCTGCTAAGTCCTGATATTCAGGAGGCCCAGATTCGTTCGAATCAACGTTTGGTCATCCGTCGATGTCACAATGGGGACACAACCCGGGGGGAAACGACGAATAGTAGACTCAGCCCTCACATAGTACAGCGTCAGCAGCAACAATGGCAACAGCGCCCGACTCCAACAACTAACCCAACGACGTGCAACGGTTGCCGAGCACAGGCACCACCAGCGTTGCGACACATACCGCGCTGGCATCATTACCGGGCGGCCCAACCTGGGGAGCAGGACGTTAGAACACGGACGTCGGCCGCCAGTCATCAACAGAGAGAGGCCATAATGGAACAGCAATCTACACCACCACAGGGGTCCGGTCACCAACCACCACAATATCCAAGCCGATAGTCGACCTCAACTACGACGACACCGCAGGTTAATGTACTCACACAAGAGGACGGACCGGTGCACAATAGCCAGTCGGCCACAGAGTTACATATACACTCCATTCTGACAGATGAAATCGAGCAGGCCACGGATACACAGACGGATACATCGTAGTCCCCGTGGACTCCGATAACAGTGCAACACTGAGATCTTAGCATATCGTGATAATTTCGAAGTAAATAAACGACGAAATGAGTCTTTTAGTAAAGTTAGGTATGTCTCGTGAAAACAGCAGTACTCTGAGGGATTGTGAGGCTGAGACATTGCCTATATATAATCCTCTCAGTACTGTTTTCGCCGATGGGATTGAATTTAGTGTTTCGTTGTCGCTCTATTAGAAACTATGGTATGTTTCGTGGGGCGAATCCGAGAGACTCATAAAATCCTATCTTTAGAAAAAAAATTGTCAAAAGAAAAAGAAAATACTCTTGATGTCTTTTATTATTATCTTAACCAATAACTTTCCACTTATCACGAATTACCGACTTAGCCTTCATCAGCCTGGCACATCTGGTTGGCTGATCGGAGGATGAACTAGGTACCGTTAATAGTCCCTAGAAACCTATATTCGGTTGAGCCATCTCGCTACCAAGTATTCAGATATAAATAAAATTGGAAAGTAAATATAGTTCTATTAATAGAACTAGACCAACTCTTATGTTTGGTATTTTACTGGGGCCTTTTAATGGCCTTATCCAAATATCTGATATGTAAAATGGAAAAGGTACTAATGAATAAAACCATCAAAAACCATTTAAAAATCTTAAGTTCCTCGTACTATTAAGAGTACGTTTATAGTTTACGTACTGCTTAAGAGTACGTTTATAACATAGAGTCTAATGTGGAGGCCCAGCTATTACAGTGGTCACTAAAGATGGAGGTGGGAACGTTGATGTAATTCCCTCTTTGGTTGCCATCCAGATGGTAGTAGTGCGATTGTGGTGTCCGGTTCGGCGATGATATTCATCATATGTTTGAACAAGAGATTCCTTTGGTGGGCGAAAAATTGTAGGGAGAGGCGCTGCGTTGGGAGGATCGGGTATCGTGGGATCAAATGGCACAGTGCCTTTTGATGGTTTGGTAGATGGAGACCTGGCGCCGGGCGGGACATCATCATGATCAGGGTTCGGGACATTAGGAGTCGGGGATGTTGGTGGCAGAGCGGTAAGTGTCGGTGTAAAATCAGCAGATTCCTATAGTAGAAGCACATGTTAACGTATATTATAAACGTATTAATGTTTAGACGCTATCACGGTTCTAAATCCTGGTATACGTTGAAACGCAATTGTAGATATTTGTATCTAATTGTAGATAATAATCAAATAACTCAATTATTGATATATTGAAATGACAGAAAACAAACAAACAAATAGTCTATTTTGGGATATTTAAAAATACAATTGTAAACATCAAAATATTGGGATCCAACAACTGGGGGAGTCTCAGGTGATATTGACACTTGTGACATATGTTGTATTACCGAATAGTCTCAGCGCGAGATGGCCCACTGAGAAATGGGGCATAAAAATGATCCCCCCTAGCCAGCCTACTAGATGTGCCCGTCTATCCCTTCAATGGGATGGAGAACTAGATACCATGTGATGGGTATAGGTACAGATGGTGTTTTTATTTTCTATTATATTTTCTTAAGATGGGAAGTTCTGCGGGGGTACTTTAAAAAAAAAAATGCAAAACCCTCATATATTTTATCGACACTATATCAATTTTATATAAAATGACTATGTATTTATGTATGTGACTTATGTATTTATTTTAAAAAAATACCATAATTATTTGCTAGCCCTCTAAAATATATACAAATGTGCGTTTGTACCTATTTGATTTCTTAAAAAGTAAGAACAAAAGTTCTGTTTCTGTGTAGGTTTAAAAAAATAAAAAATAAAAATAGAACAAAAAAAAAGTAAAATAGCAAAACGCATAGCCTTCTTGATAAATACTATAGACTTTTGATTAAAAAAAAACAAAAAACAAAACAAAACGGCAATTTTGAATTTTGGATAAAAAAAACAAAACGAAAACAAAACAAAACTATCTCCGTTATATTTCCAGAAAATAAAGATTGGCATCTAATCGCACAATTCTAAAAATAATTAGCAATATCGCACGCAAGTATCTATGTATTCAAATTTTTGAATATATTTTCCAAACCTATCAATAGGCAGATTTACCCACATCGTGCACCGTGGGGGCTGGGGCTGGACCAAATTCTAAAAATATTGTGGAAAAACGACGAAAAAAGGTTGTGAGTAAAAAAGAATTCGTAGGTGGTGCTTTTCTCCACACAAGATGGCAGATGGCGGATGGCATCATAGCTCTGAGTCCTGAGCCTCTGAACGACTGAGCCTCTGATACGCATATGTTACTCTTCAGTTTTCTCAAACTGACGACCGCAATAAATTTTATAAATTTTCCTTCTTCTAGGGTATTTTTAAATATTCGGGCCAATAATCTTTATCTATTAAATACAGCTCTGTACATAAATACCTAGGAGACTAAGAGCCCAAGACACGAACTAGGACTCTACGACTCTACGTATCTACGATTCTATGAAGTCTCTAATAGAAAAGGATAATTTTTTTTTTGCCTTAGGGCGTAGGACGAAGGTCACGTATGTAGGAGTCTCTCTACTACTACTGGTAAATAGTAGTAGAGAGAGAGGACCCGGAAGTTCCGGGTAGGACGTAGGTGGCGCAGGGGCGGCCGTAAATCCCTATAAATCCGTATCCGCGACTCGCAAGTCAGGTCGAAATTAACCGAATAGCCACAAGTGTGTGATATATTTAGGTGATACTGAGAATCTGATACGCCGAAGTCTGGACTTTGGAGTCTGGAGTCTGGAGTCTGGAGTCTGGACAGCTGGGGACTCCTGCATTAATTGTGTAGATGCTGATGGCCTGAATGTCTGATACTTGATAGGCTAATAAATTGTTTTAAAATTATTTTATTTGCACACATAAAGTTTTATTTAGGCATCTCTTTTTTGAAACAAAACCATTTTCATATTGAGATGTATCAACTATCACATTTTCTGAACACATTATTTACTGAACACACACACGCACATGTGTGTTTGTACGGCGTATACTTGGTGCAAATAAAATAAGTTGTTTACACAAGTAAATATGTAGTCTATTCCCGGCGGGCGGCCTACCCGCCCCCGGCTCTAGGCCTCTACAGTCTACGATTCTACGACTCTACAGTCTACACTGCCTACAGTCTACACTGCCTACAGTCTACGGCCTACGGCCTACGCGAGATTGTTCAATATCTATTTACGGATCGTAGAGCCTAGAGAGTGATATATTTTTAAAAAAGGACAGAACAACGAACGTCCAATACAACACGACTTCGTTTTTTTTCTCGAAATTTTAATGAGTAGTAACTCTACTGAGAGAGTCACTGGAGTCATACAGATTACAGAACCACTGTTGGTGACTTCAAAAGTTCAAGGCTTGGTTACGCCTCTAGGTAGTTGGTGCCTACCTGCCAACTCGATTACTAGAGTATTTTTTTAGTAGAACTACTACTAAATACTATTTTACATTCTTACTTTCTCAATTCTCCCTCTTGTTTTTAAAAAAGAAACCCCCCCGAGAGAGATAAAGCGAGAGAGAGAGAGAGCGTGAGTGTGTCTGAGCCTCTGAGGTGTGTGTGTGTGTGTGTGACAGAGAGAGTGTGTGAGAGTCTGTGAGACACAAGAGAGAGAGAGAGACTGACACACAGTCACACACACACAGTCACACAGAGAGATATCCTGACTGCCTGGGCCCTGGGGGCTGGGGCCCTGGGCCCTTGGCGTGCCTGCCAGTCTGGTCGCCCTGGCCCCTGGTGCTTCGTAATCGTGAGTCGTGAGTCGTGACTCGTGAGAGTTGGGTGTATTTACTAATGAAATCTATCGCCAATTTAAAAATATCCATGAATCAAGATGTGTTTTTACCAAACACTCCTCAGACCTCGTCCGAGAGTTTCCACCCCCCCTGTATTCAGTATATATTGGCTTCTTTGTATATAGTACAAAAATTAAAAAACTGCCCCTTCGACTCATCGTGTGTAAAATAAACTGGAACAGTATAGATACTTGATTATTAGAGACCCCCATTGGGCCCATTCCCAGCGGGCATCTACAATCTTCTCTGTCAAAACTAAAAAAAAGTGAACTATTTTTTTAACGGGTTTATAAGAAAAATAAGAAAATGCACTCTTGGTGCCTACATATTTACACTCATACAGTTCTACTTTTTATTTTTTGTTTTATAAAAAATGAGGTATTAAATAGTCCCAATTTATTATTATTATATTTTTAAAATTAAAATACCACCCCACTCCATCATAGGGACAGTCTTAGTCCTACCAGTAACCACTAACCAGATACTAAATAAGTGTAGGCAACAGCAGTATTGTGACTTTGTTGTGAAGTTGAGTGTGTACTCTGTACATACTACAATATACATACAATATTAATTTATGTGATAATTTTATCATCAAGAAGACCATATTTGATATTTAGCCTCGTGTTGTGTATAAATGATAATTGATTTGAACAGAGGCTATTTATTTATAATTTTCAGCAGTCGTCTAAATGAAACAGGGGGCTATGTTTCCAGGCACATGACAAACCACTGTACATAATCTATTTGTTTTCACAAAAAACCCCATTTTTTTCGGCTATGAGAGCATAATTTTCAAGAAAATGAGAGGCGGCGAGACCGCGAGTGTCAAATTTTTATGCCGCGAGAGCCTTTATTTTGCTTTTGAAAATATAGTATTGTTTCTATAAAAACAAATACGTACAATCTCGATTTCTTTTCCGGTGAGATTTTTTCTAAAACGATAGACTGAGCCGAGCGACGATAATTTCTTTGGTTCCAGTCTTGTGCATCATCTCAAAGACTCAAACATCACTGCATGATCCTGAGATATGGGCATATCTACACTTACCCATTAAAATACACAATTTGATTACCAACTAGCTGTGACAATTCGTTGTACGCTGTGCTTTTACTATTTATACTTTTTTTTTTAAAAGGCAGATAATTTACAGGCTCTTGTGCACAATATGGTCACTGAGGTAGACCAAATAGCCCTATTGAATAGGTTGTAATCACGTACCGCTTGCCAAATTTTCCTAAGTGCAGATGCGATAACAAGCGGGCATTAGCATCCCTCTTGAGTATTCGCATAGCCATGAGAGATACAGATAACGACCTCTGTGACGTATGCGGGGATAAAGCTACATGCATGTGCAAGTGTGGCGATCGCATCTACTGTAAAGAGGATTGTCAGGTAAGGTCGTATTTTCCGGTCATTTAGTGTATATATTTTTTAAATTGAGGAGTTTATTTCATTAGATAAATAAACAATATATATATGTATGTATATGTATGTATATGTATATGTATGTATATATATATATAAATATATATAAACGGTTACAGGAATAATATGATATATCATACCGTAAACGCAGATTCGATGTTGAAGCAGGTACGAAAGGTACTACGCCCTCAGACTCCACCCGCGCTAGTGTTTGTGCCTCCTAGTAGTTGACCAATTGGTATAATCATAACATCAATTGAAAGCGTTAGTTCAACTGAAGTGACATACAGCCAAGTGAGAATAAAGGGAATAACATCCAGCAGAAGCCATTCGAATGATGTATATATATATATATGATATATATGTATGTGTGTATGTATAAATATATATATATATATATATATGCATGTATATATATATATATATATATATATTATATATATATATAGATATATATGTATATATATTATGTATATATATATATATATATATATATATATATTATATATATATATATATATATATATACATACATTCATATATATATGTATGTATATATATGTATATGTATATTTCTATATACATGTATATATATATATATATTTGGATTGAATATATGTATATATATTTATATATATATATATGTATATATATATATATATATGTGTGTGTGTGTGTGTTTGTATATATATATATATATATTATATATATACATATTATACATGTGTATATATATATACATACATATATATATATATATAAATGTATAAATATATATATATATGTTAAATATACATATATATATATAGTATATATATAAATGTATATTTATATATATATAAGTGAAAATACAACATATTTATATAGTTGAGGTTTGATTTACCTGGAGGCCGATGGGGGGTGCATTTAGATCGTCCAAACCGATACCGTGATGGCCCATGATTTCTTTAATACTTGTTACGGTATCGCTCTCGAACTGATCAAAGGCAAACACATTCCCCAGTGCTGCAGATACAGTAGGAAAAACGGTCATTAAGTCATGGTATCTCCAAGTTTGTTCGATGCAATCTGTAAAAGCACTATATTAACGTCTTGTATTCCTGTATGCGGGGCGGTTCACTTCTGGCATACGAATAAACGCTGGTGCTATGGGTGAATATACAAATAGGAATTTGCTGTATTTTACGTAGGTAAACGCACGCGTGGTAAATGTTGCGCGCGCGGTTGGATGTTCTAGGGTTCGGGGTTTGCGTATATTACAGGGAACAGGGAGGATTTTGGTTCTGTGCGGATATGTCAGGGTGTGAAGGGTCCTAGCATACGATGCGTGCACCACGAGCAGCTTATGAAGCACATACCAACAGACAAGGAATCCTGGGGGAATGTCTGCAAATGTCTTACAACATTGACGAGTTCTCGGGTGGAGTACGGGTACGTTAGAAGGCCCTTATCCACCCCCCCTCTCACTTCATCAAAGGCCTCTACCAAACGTGAAACCATGTGCTTGGGCACATTCGGTGCATACGACTGTATAGTATCAGAACGGACGACAACATCATGAGCGATGAGGAAACAAGTATATGAGAAGTACAAATATATTAGAAGTTAAAGTATTTGAGAAGTAAAAGTATACGCGAAGTACGGTTTTCGTATCACTCTTCTGTGCCTTATTGAGTAAATGTAATAACCGCGACACCGTGCGTTGGGGTAGAGTCATTCTTCTCCATTTATGATATTAGTATGGATGGATATATCTGAAGTATAGAGGGTATCAAATTCATATCAGCATATATTCGTTACATCTTAGGCTGCACCAGCTCCAAAGGTTTGTGCCTGAGCACATTCCGTGTATAAGCCTACTTTATACACAGGTGAAGACGAACTGAATGTGAACGTGCAATGAGAGACCAGTACGTGTTCACAACCCCTTAAATACTTCAATTAAACGCGATACCAGGCTGATAGGCTATACAACTAAGACTTATGAATGTGAAGAAATATTGTGTCCGAGATGAGGGTATAAGCAAGTTAGGTCCATATTATTATTCCTTCGAACTGTAATACAAGTCCTCTACTAAGCACGGCAGTATGTACTGAGGCACTTTCATGCACCAGACCGCTATGTATAATGAAATGGTGACTTAGATTCATAAGTACGAGAGAGAGAGCTCTTATACTATTACCCGGGCTGTACGTACCAAGTCAAAAGTCTCTAGCCTACAATGCCATGTATTCGTAGTAAAGGCCTACCTATCCAAAATAAAAATCTTTAGCCTGCAATGTCATGTATTTGCAATAGAGGCCTAACTATTCGAAGATTGCACATACCTGTAAGAGCAGCGTCTCGCTTGCCTTGTCGGGGTTGTCCACAACATGGCAACTGAAGACGTCTCCACATTCGCGGAAAAAGTCATTGCCTGTCATACGATATAAAGATATGAATCTGCTCAGTATTATGATCGTATATGTATATGTATGTACGAAAACGCAATGTGTTACCATATACACAGAGTATCAGAGAAGCATCATTGCATATATATTACATATATATATATATATATAAATATATATATATGCATGTATGTGTGTGTGTGTGGAAACGCAATGTGTAACCATATACACAGCGTATCAGGGGAGTATCATTGCATAATATTATATATATATATATATATATACATATATATACTACTTGCTCTGCGTGTACAATCTAACAAGTGCATTTGAATTTAGAGCTGTTTATACACATATAGAACACATACGGAATCAAGCCACTGCCTTTAGCTATTCACGAAATGGGTTGAGTACGTGTATCACGCAATAGTATGATCCAAACGTATGTGAATACGTACACTTCACATGCATGCATCACCTTCATATTAAATACCCTACGTATGAGACTACATACACTTCACGTACATGTATCATATCATCTCAACATTATGACCCGTACGTATGTGGATATATACACTTACCATACATGCATCACCTCAAAATTCTGGCATATACGTATGTGCATATATATACTTATCATGCATGTATCACCTCAACATGAAATACCATAGGTATGTGGATATATACACTACTATATACATACGCCTGATAATGCATGTGTCATATGTATGAGACTGATTATATATTCGTTGGGTACTCCGTTATTCGTCACTCCAACTTTCAGGCTGTCTTACCCAAAAACGGGTATCCAGGTCGGTTCGCAAGCACAAACATGCGGAAGTCTTTATGTATGGGAATCACGTTCTCATCCGCCCCACTCCTGGATAATTGTCCAGCACTGACGATACGCCTGCCATCGGAAAGCAACATCTCCCCGTCTTCTACCAACGATTTGAGCACACATACAACCTCCACAGGCGCCTTATCGGCTTCATCTACTACCAAGGTGCGTCCATGGGTCACTGCACGCACAAGTGCACTGTCTTCCCATACTACACGCCCGTTGTGTAAGGTGGGGGCCAACCTAGAACGTAGTGGTTGAGGAAACTTGAGTTGTTGAATGTAGATACGTACAAATGTCGGTAATTCTATCTTGGATGTGTATGAAGTGGATTTTATCTTTCTCAAATCTAACTACTTCATCTACTACATCTACTTCAGCTATATTATTTATATAT